TCCAGTGAGTCCTTCCTCCTTCTCATTAGGTGGCCAAAGTACTTGAGTTTCCTCTTCAGGATCTGGCTTTCTAAAGAGCAGCCATGGTGGATCTCCTCTAGGACTGACCGGATGGATGGCCTTGCAGTCCAAGGGACTCGCAGGAGTCTTCATCTCCAGCACCAGAGTTCAAAGGCCTCCATTCTTTGGCGCTCAGCCTTTCTAATGGTCCAACTTTCACAACCATCCATTGCAACTGGGAAAACCGTAGCCTTGACTAGACACACTTTTGTTGGCAGGGTGATGCCTCTGCTTTTTAGTTTGCTGTCTAGATTTGCCATAGCTTTCCTCCCCAGAAGCGTCTTTTAATTTCTTGGCTGCAATCCCCATCTGCGGTGATCTTGGAGCCCAGGAAAGTAAAATCCGTCACTACCTCCATTTCTTCCCCATCTATTTGCCAGGAATTGAGAGGGCTGGATGCCAGGGGAATAAGGGAATAAAACTAGAGTTCTTAATATGTTCAACTTCAACTTACAAATCAGTCAAGAAATAGTAAAGTATTGTTGATTAAAAATAAAACTTTAAATGGCTGTCTTATCAAAGAAGGAGCCTAACATGCTGTTTGTTATCTTTCTAGACAGGGTTCGGGCGGGAGCATAATTTGGCTACACATTCCTTTTAGGAAAGTTCAGAGAATCTGATGTTATTAGCACAATCTTTTTACATGGGCATTTTAAATCAAATCTATAGACAATTCAGTACGTAGGAGTGAATAAAAAGTTGGGGTAAGTGGAGGGAAAAACAAACGCATACTTTAATCTTTAAAACACGGGTTCACCACGAAGTCAAACATTATAAACGAGGGAAGTGTTTTTCCCACCGTCTTATTTTGCACCAGTCCAAAACAAAATATGAACTTGTTTTGCAAAGGGGTGGCACTGACTATATACAAATGTAGCAGCAGAATTATATTCGTATAAAATAAATAACTGAGATGCCTTTAGCTCTCCAGGAGAAATTGTTTATAGATCGTTTACACGTTAATACCTAAAAGCAAAATGAAAGGTTAATTAAGTCCATCTGGCCATAATCGTTTGGGAATTTTTATGAATTTCTGTACCAAAGATCCATTTAGAGAACTAAGTAAATAAATACATAGTTTGCTTACAAGGAGACACACATTTTTATACATGATGTGCATGATTTGATTTGTTAGACATTGGATAGTATTAAAAGGTGTACATTTATTCCACCTACATGTAATAACAACAGGAATATTACGGTACCTACAAAAGCATTACCTAATGGTCTGGAATAATCATAGGTCCGTAATATTAATTAGAGAAACTAAGCCATCTTAATGCTTTTAAATATATATTACCTGGGATCATTCTGCTACATGAGATAGTTTTGATATCCCAAAGCAGCTGCTTGCTTACATGAATTTAATTTAATTAACACTACTCAGTTATTGCCACAGAGAAAAATTCATAATTAATTATTCAACAATGAAGAAGGTCCTATTTGTTAAGAGTGCCGATACAATCGTCAAGTAACAGCTTTTACAACCATCTATATATTGGGTGCCTGATTCAACAACCCAGGTTATCTCATCTCCCTTCAATTTTCGTATTTATTTTCCCTTGGGTGACAAAAGGGGCAAATAACTGTTTTCATTGGTTCTTCCCCAGGTTAAGATATACTTTAACGTAGCCCATTTAAATGCACTTCCCTCATCCATCCTAGAGGACAGATTTTCAGCATTCCAACCAAGCCTCTGTTGTTACACCTCCCACAGCTTAATGCTCTGGCACCATTCTTCTAGTCCTGTGATGGCAAATTTATGGCATGCATGCCACAGGTGGAACGTGGAGCCATTTGTTACGGCACACGAGGTGTTGCCCTGTTAGCTCCAGAATGCCAGCTGACTTCAGCCTTCACTTTTGGCCGTTTTTCGCCCTCTGGAGACTTCCCTGAAACGGGAATGAACTTCCGGTTTGTGCATTGGGCCATTTTTTGGCTTCAGGAGGCTTCAGGATGCTTCCTTGAAGCTTCCGAAGGGAGAAAAATGGCCCTAGAGGGAACCCGGAAGGTTAGGCGGAGGGGGAGACCATTTTCACCCTTCCCCAGGCTCCTAAAAAGCCTCTGGAGCCTGGATAGGGTGAAAAATGGGTCCATCGCGAGAAAAAAGAAGGGGGTGCATGCATGCACGGGGGGGGGGGGTCACACGCGTAGAATTATGGGTGTGGGCCCTCCCACACACAACTCCCCGGTACTCCCCCTCGTTTTTGGCACGCGATTCCAGTAAAATCTGTATTTTTTTTAATGAGCATTAGAGAGAATATTGAATTTGTTAGCAATCGCAAACCACACGGCAAACTGTCTTGAAATGCACAAATTTCAGTTAAGTGAGAATGCAAAAAACTGCCTGAAATATGGGAGATTAATACTTATGAATACTTATGAATTGGGAGTTGCTTTCCTAAACTGTACAAGGGGTTATTTAATCAATACTTGACATTCGCAAGTGCAAACAGAAATTCCAAAAATCCCAAGCGTTATCCTTGTTGACTCAAGAAGATTTGTGATTTAGTTCTACATTAACTCTTGACCTGCATTTCCAAAATCGGATTTGATTCGACAGTTTAGGTCACGGGTGTCAAACTCAAGGCCCGCGGGCCAGATCCGGCCCACAATGTGTTCGGATCTGGCCCGCAGGGCCGTCCCAGTATACCCAGTGTAAAGAGAAAGATAAGGCCAGTGTGGCTTCAGACTGCTCTACCCAATGCAAAGAGGAAACATTCCAGCATTTTTGGGAGTGGCATCAAGCTGGCCATGCCCACCCAGTCGGCCACACCTACCTAGTCGGTCATGCCCGGCCGGCCCCGAGGTCAACCACAGCCCTGATGCGGCCCTCAATAAAATTGGGTTTGACACCCTGGTGTAGGTGTAGGAGGGCAGAATTTAGGGACAGAGGCAAAAGAGGGATCAACCTAGAATCCTTATGTAGCCACAAGTGAACTTAAGTCAACCCCACCCCCCAACGAAAGTCTTTGGCTCTTATCTAACTCCTTAGCATAGGCTAACCATTAGTTGAGAAGATTCCTGCACATAGGCTTTTAGCAATGAATCGGCTGAATTGAATCTTCATTACGTGGACCTGCTTTTTCACACCTGGCAGCAACCTTCTCCTACTTGCCTCCAAATGCTTACAACTCGTTTCGTAGTATATTCTGACAAAATATTAAAATCGTGACTTTAGCTCAAAAGTTCATCATTTCCCAAGGCGATCCAGGCCTAAAAGCAGGAAGCATTTTTTTTTTTTTTTAAGAGAGATTAATTTATGTTACGTTATTTACTTTGGCTTTACATGTTTCAGCTTTTGTTTTTAAATTGTATTGCATTAGATTGCTTTTTATTGTTATTAAACCCAGCGGAATGGACGGAGAAGAAATATGCACAAAATGGGTGCCTTACCCTCGGATGTTTTCCAGCGTTTCCATAAATCCTCAATGGTGATGTGCTTATCTTCCCTGTGCAAGTGGCTGTGCTTATTAGACGCATCTTTAGAGTTCATACCTTGTCTGATAAACTAAAAAGAAAAAAGAAAATTGTGGTTTGAAACACATTATGTCAGGCAAGTTGTAACGACGCAAACCAACGGTGCTCAAATTATTCTCTTCCAGGTTCAGGCAGACAAGGAATTTCCTTGTATATCTAATCACTAGCTGGATATCCGTGCTCCGCTTAGTGATCGAGCTCCTTTCCTCTTCCGTTCTCACCCTCAGGCTTGCCCCCCCCCCCCCAGAGGCCCCCCCTATCTTATCCCGTTCTCTCCCTCAGTCTAACTCCTTAGCATTAGAGCATTTTTCAGGTTGGTAGGGCGATTAGAATGTCTAGGTTTAGGGCTGGATGAGGCTGGATGAGTCATGTGCTGGCCACACCCAAGTGGCAGTTTGAACAGAGTTCTTTTCAGGTGGGGAGGGGGAGTAGAACGTGTAACACCTTAGCATCAGAGCATGTTAATAATAATATAAGAAATACTAATGATCTGATGGTCATTTCGAAAAATCCTTTCTTGGTAAACACCTAGGAGCCAAGAGGAACCTATGTGCCAAATTTCAAGTTTGTAGGCTTTACATTTTTGGAGATTTTGTGATGCTGCATGAGTGGTATTTCGCTTTTATATATACATAGATTATTCTTAATCATTTGTTTAGATAGTTATTTTAAAAAATTGGAAATAATCCCTAAGCAGGGATGGACACCTAATATCATTATTTCTTTCAAATATGACACAACTGGACAATATTTCTCTTGGTCCATGTGCTACAAATACATTACCAACAGTGAAGAGCGACAAAAATATAGAGGAGAAAATAACTGGAACATGGACTGAAGCAAGTACAGGTTGTCCTCAACTTGCAACCGTTTATTTAGTGAATGTTCAAAATTGCAACGGCACTGAAAAAAGTGACTCGTGACCCTTTTTCAAGCTTACGACCGTTGTAGCATCCCCATGGTAACACGATCAAAATTTGTATGCTTGGCAACTGATTCATATTTATGACTGTTGCTGTGTCCCAGGATCACGTGATCCCCCTTTTGTGACTTTCTGACAAGCAAAGTCACTGAGGAAGCTACTTCACTTAACAACCGTGTTACTAAATTTAATAACTGCAGTGATTCTAAACAACTGTGCCAAGAAAGGTCGCACAATGTTAGAACAATTAATCAGTAGAACAGAAGTTGCCTCCAGAAGCTGTGAATGCCCCAACACTGGAAGTCTTTAAGAAGATGTTGGATAGCCATTTGTCTGAAATGGTATAGGGTTTCCTGTCTAGGCAGGAGGTTGGACTAGAAGACCTCCAAAGTCCCTTCCAACTCTGCTATTCTATTCAGCAAAACCACCATCAAGAAGAAATTAAAATTTTAGAGCAGACAACTAAGACACAATTAAAAATACAATGTCACCAGTGGTGGGTTTCACATTTTGTTACCATCTGTTCGCTGGGGGTGCACGCACCATCTCGGCGCATGCACCTGGCCTTCTGCGCATGCGCTTCGCTCGTGCGCGCCTTCCGTGCATGCACCCATCATTAAAAACGTGCCTGCACCTGCCCTCAAAAATTAAATAGGATGGCATAGAGCCGGGGCGGGTGGGAAGGCGTATCCGCGATTTCCACTACCGCTTTAGCCGAACCAGTCCGAATTGGCTGAATACCACCTCTGGTTATAACCCTCAGAATTCCCTACTTTCTTGAAGCAGAAATCTGTGCTGGATACCACTACTTTTACATGTTAAGTAGATTTTTATTTGTACATATACTGTAGGTGAAATTGTAAAGCTTCTACAATTGCAAGCTTGATGGATGATGTCCAAGTGGAATATGAAATTAATCTGTCTTTGCCCTTTTCCTGGGCAATTTTTTTTTTAATTTATCTTTCTGTAGCCTAAAGCTATGGGGTTCCCTGGTAGACTTCTATCTAAACAGACCAAAGGCCTGTTTAGCTTCCTAACTCAGACAAGACTGCCTCGCTTTGCTGTGTTTTGCATATTTGTGGGTGTGGGTGCCATATGCGTATGCCATGTACTTACAAAAAGTGCCTGTAAAAAAGACCCTTCATTTGCCTCCGCTGCTTCGCCCTCAAAAAAGTTATCTAGTTTCATATATCATTTTTTACTTTTATAAAAAGACCAGACAAATTAAGAGAAAAGGAAGGAGGGAGGAGAAATAAGAGGGAGACAGGAACGAAGGGAGGGAGGAGGGGAGGAGAGGTGAGGGGATAGGAAGGGAGGAGAGAAGATAAGAGAAGAGAGGAGAAGGGAAGGGAGAGGAGAGGAGAGGGTTGGGGAGGGGAGGGGAAAGAAGAGGAGGGAAGGGAAGAGAAGGGAAGGGAAGAGAAGGGAGATGAGAGGAGAAGGGAAGGGAGAGGAGAGAAGAGAGAAGAGAGAAGAGAGAAGGGAAGGGAAGGGAGAGGAGAGAAGGGAGAGGAGAGAAGAGAAGGGAAGGGAAGGGAGGGGAGGGGAAAGAAGGGGAGGGAAGGGAAGAGAAGGGAGAGGAGAGGAGAGGAGAGGAGAGAAGAGAGAAGAGAAGAGAAGGGAAGGGAAGGGAGGAGAGGAGAGAAGGGAGAGGAGAGAAGAGGAGAAGGGAGGAGAGGGGAAAGAAGGGGAGGGAAGGGAAGAGAAGGGAGAGGAGAGGAGAGAAGGAAGAGGAGAGGAAAAGGGAGGGGAGGGGTGAGAGGGGAGGAGAGGAGAGAAGGGAGAGGAGAGGAGAGAAGGAAGAGGAGAGGAAAGAAGGAAGAGGAGAAGGGAAGGGAGAGGAGAGGAGAGGAGAGAAGAGAGAAGAGAAGGGAAGGGAGGGGAGAGGAGAGAAGGGAGAGGAGAAGGGAGGGGAGGAGTGAGAGGGGAGGAGAGGAGAGAAGGGAAAGGAGAGGAGAGAAGGGAGAGGAGAGGAGAGAAGGGAGAGGAGAAGGGAAGGGAGAGGAGAGGAGAGAAGAGAGAAGAGAAGGGAAGGGAGGGGAGAGGAGAGAAGGGAGAGGAGAGGAGAAGGGAGGGGAGAGGAGAGGAGAAGGGAGGGGAGGGGTGAGAGGGGAGGAGAGAAGGGAAAGGAGAGGAGAGGAGAGGAGATCCTTATTCAGAAGCTACAATGTGGATGGTGAAAATAATAACAGTAAAAGAAGTTGACCAAAAAGTGCATCACCCAATTATCTGCCGCAAAAAAGATCACACAGACTGACTACAAATAACAACAAAACAAAAAGGTAACAATAGTGCATTGGGATACCTGCAACAACAACAACAAAAAGAGCCGCTTGCCTGGAAGCAGAACTGGTGGGACCACAAAATAGACAAGTCCATAGAAAGCGAGAAAGCTTAAGCGGCTCTGGGAGTTCAGAATTCAAACAGGCACGAATATTAATAAACAACAGGAGCCTATTCCCAGGGGGCCCGGGAAAGACAAAACTGCCAAATCCACTCTGAACACCTGGCTGACTATGGGACCAACCATAATGAATTAAATTTATATGCCTCTGACTCTAAATTCACAAGCCGCCATCCCTTTTCAACTAAAGGACAGCCTCTTTCATTTTCAACCATTCACCTGAGGCTTCTGAGAGGCAAAAGGCAACTCTCAATTTAGAGTAATTATTTAGAGCAGGGGGAAGAAAACTCTCTTCTTGCAGTAGAGCATTAAGCTTCCAGAAGAAGGGAGAAGGTACTGTTTTAGTACCTGAATCTCTGGAACTAACTAACTAACTATAGCGAGCATTCTTGTCAAAGTCAGCACTAAAGTTTTATTCAAGGACAAGAACAGACTTGCAAAGGTATGTGGCAATTATAATGCTGTGGGGCTAAATGTGTTCCAAATAGTAAATTGTAATAATCCCCAGATTGCCAATTTCAATTTGCCTTATCGTCTGATCCTTGTAGAGCAGGGGGAGAGGGTGTCAAACTCAAGGCCTGTGAGCTGGATCTGTCCTGCAGGTCCCGCCTGGAAATAGCAAAAGACCAGCCCGCAATGCCTCTAGCGGTCAAAATGGGGCATGGGGGGGGGCATGGGCCACCCCTCTGCGGCACGTTTTTGGCCTGGACGGCCTCCTGCAGTACTCAGATGGCCAAAATGGTTGCAGGGCACCCCATTTTGGCCGACAAAGTGCTACTGGAGGCGTCCATACCATCTCCCCCTCCCTCCCCCGGCCGTGGAGAAGAACTACAGCATTGATCCAGTCCTCGAAGAAATCCCTTATTGTAAGAAGTACAGGTATTTCAGAGAATATAAGTCATCCTCAACTTGCAACAGTTCATTCAGGGATCATGCAAAGTTACAACATCCCTGGGGGGAAAAGTGACTTATGACCATTTTTCTACTTACTTTTGACTGTGGCAGCCTCTCCCTTGTCAAATGATTAAAATTCAAACACTTGGCGGCTAGCTCGTATTTATGACGGTTTGGAGTGTCCCGGGATCATGTGATTCCCTTTTGAGTCCATGGGGGAGACAGAGTCACTTAACAACCATGCTACTACCGCGTTTCCCTGAAAATAAGACAGGGTCTTATTTTCTTTTGACCCCCGAAATAAGCGTCTGGCCTTATTTTCAGGGAGGTCTTATTATTTTTGAGGTGCAGGAGGCGGCGAGTGTGGTCACCTCATGGCTACTGCAATATTTTCAGGGAGGTCTTATTTTCGGGGGAGGGCGCATGCACTCAGAAGCCCGATTGGGCTTAATTATCCAGGGAGGTCTTATTATTTTTGAGGTGCAGGAGGCGGCGAGTGTGGTCACCTCATGGCTACTGCAATATTTTCAGGGAGGGCTTATTTTCGGGGGAGGGCGCATGCACTCAGAAGCCCGATTGGGCTTATTATCTGGGGAGGTTATTTTCAGGTTAACAGGGCATCTGTCAGCCCTA